TCTAAATAGATGAAACCGAATGTTATTTTCCTTAATTTAACCATCGATTGTTCAAAAGCCAATTAAGTTGAATTTATGTGCTTGTGCATCAATATATTATATTATGAATTATTACTTACAATAGCATCAGTCTTTGTTTATACAAATTAACTATAATTTTGTATTGGAGATATAAATTGAGCAGAATTTATTGCAACAATATAATATACGTGGATCATATAATAGATTTATTTATAGATCGACAATTTAACAGCAGGTTATTGGGTTGATACGGTTGTATTTGTTGTTTCAAATGTTATTTATTGCAGAATCTTTAATAAACTATTTTATTGCACAATTATTCTGAGTTTATACTTAATATAGTAATAAACTTTTATTCAGAACCGAGTCTATTGCATTGGCATTTTAGATAGAAATTTTAACAAATAGTTCACAGATAAAGATATAACTTATAATAAGAAAATACAGTTTAAGATGCAAAAAATATACTTTATATATGTTACCAATATTTGAACATTTATGATAAAAAAAATATTAGTTTCTTGGGTATATTTATCTATAGTACTGACAGTGGATTATTATCATAGAGTGAATTTTAACTCTATGGTAAATCCAATGTTCTGAATTTTTGCGTGATTTTTAAGATTTTCTTTTTCACCAAATTGATTGAGTAAATTAATTTATATTTTAGAACTTTTCAAAGGACTAGTTTAAATTTTCACCAGGAAATCAGATTTGCTAATTTTATGTTTCTACGCCGATTCAAGACGTTTTGAATCGTTAGACACCAAAATTAGTGACAGCAATTGTGTGTGTTAGGATGGTCCTTGATGTTTTGAATTTCCTTGCTTCCAGGAGTTCAAATGCTTCAAAATTGATAAAAAAAATCTCTGAAAAATTTAGCCTTCAATATTGACCTTAAAACAGTCCGTACTCCAACCAAAGTTTCTTGGTTCTTCTTCCTAAGTAAATATTTATTTTATGAAATTCATCAATTTTTTGTTGTAATTTTTTTATTTATGATCAAAATAAGCGAATACAATGTTATTCTCAAAATTTTAATTCATTTGTCGCTAAGTTGTAGGATTCCAAAAAACAAATGGAATTTCACTCATGTTATTTGCATAGAAACTTTGGTTGGAGTGCGGACTATCTCAAAGTTAATATTAGGAGCTAAAACTTTCAGAGAATTTTTTTTATAAATTTAGAAGCATTTGAGCACTTGGGAGCAAAGAAAATTAAAAGCATCCATATTAAGGACCACTCTAGACTGTGTGCATATATGTGACAAAACTTGACTTTTGGTTGATTTTTTTTTAATTCTGCTTCACAAATATCGAATATTTGGTGAAACTCGTCAAAGGCTGGAGTTGATTAGTTTATATAGGGATTTAGTTCATAATATATACAAACATACTAAAATATGATAGGCTCGCGAGGAGTGGTTTAGTTATGAAAATTCATTAAAATTTGGACTAATAAACTTTATTTTGGAATAAACAGTCAAAATCTTATCTTCTTATTATCGTCAAAATATGTACTCAACATGAAATTTCTTATACCAAGTTATTTAACTTATCAAAATCCCTGATCAAGGTGAACTATCAAAATGTGTACCTACTATAATGTTTTAATTCATCATCATAAATACCATGTAAAGCTTGTGTATTTGTATGCATAAAATTCCTTAATTCGCCTGGTTAAGTTACTGTTACTTGGCGCATGGTTTGATACCATATGATTACCTGTTACTTTATGGACTAATCTCGCAGCTGGGCCTTTGATTGCTTTATTGCTGATAGTCGTCGATTTCGACTTCGCGCTCGGGAACTGTTGCTGAAATTCTTGAAATCGTCCTAATGAGACTATTACCAACAAATATGGTATAACGAGATTACCAGTCAAGCAAAATATAGTTCCAGCATTCTCCTCAACCAGTAACAACACGTGCGGCGGCTAGCGCTTCTTAACTGTGGCAATTTAACGCCTGTTAAGGGACAGAGTACCGCAATTCCCATGGCCATCTTCGGCTCAGAGCTATCCGGTGCTATTTCGATGCTTTTATATAGATAGAGATTTTATATATAAATCTCGCGCATCTAATCGGCACTACTATTAGATTTCCTTCGGGCGAATCCTTAGTAATAAACAAGCAGTTCGTATTGATGCCACATGCATGCATATTGTTCCCCTGATGCATACGAATGGTCGTCCTACTGAACTGCGCAGAAGTGGAGTAAAAGTTAAGGCAGGAGTTAAGAACCTTTTGGAAGTTCGAAGCCCAAAAGATTGAAATAGATTGTGATATGAAAAATGGTAATTGATAATTATATTGGCGAAGTAATTGAGGACTGCATCAATGCCTGCTCATTTTTTGGATTAAGAATGGAGCTTAAAGGTCACCACCGATATCTCAAAAACAAGTAAAGTTTAAAAATTTTAAATAATAATATTTGAAAGTGAAGGAAAAAGATGTACTCAGCCAGAGATAAAATAAATAAATAGTTATTACAACTCTGCTGATGACTATTTCTGACGAAATACCAGTTCAAGGTTATATACAGTGTTATCTCTGTAAAATACGTACCCATGAAATTTATATTATATATCGGTTGAATAATGTAGCTATTTTTTCGTAAAATTCTTTTAAAATTAAAAATCAGACATTGGACCTGTTTACTTCCTAGTCATCAATGTTACTATGGAGTAAAAAGGATTAGGTAAACTTTTTTTTGAAAACAGCAAAAGATACACATTTTTACGAAGATGATTTAGCTGGTAGTTATACTGAACATAGTCAGATAGTTCTTTGTTTCATATGTGCTACTTGTTGTGATATACTTGGTTTGGTTTCAACAATAAAATTGTTCAAAGTCAATTTTGTTCTTTATACTACCGTATGTGATGAAAAATGTTTTTATTTTGATGTGGATTTATTAGATTTTTGTAATTGTTTTATTTTTTGTGACATCTTATTTAATTTGAATTTCAAAATAGTTCATTACTTTATTATAGTATTTGTTTAAATATTTATTGGCTACTACATCGATTTCTTGTGGTAGATATTTATATTTTAACGAGTACTAGAGGGCGTAATATTGCTTTAGTGTAATAGTTCAGAACTTTACATAAAAAAGTTTTATAGTTTTGAGAATATTGTAACTCGATTTTTAGTTAACTGGTAATATATGTTGAAGTGAAGACCAGATGGACTTTTTCATTTTGTATTAAAGAACGCGAAATTGCATATTAGTTTCCATACGCAATTATGAAGATGCACATGTAATGCAAAATTTATACACACACGCTTTCAATTTTTCGAAATCTAACATAATAATAATAATTTCCATGCTTATATATAAAGTATTTGAGAATAGGATCTGAACTTCATTCATAGCAGTTTAGACAAATAGCTGAAAATTGGATTCGATTGATCTAAGTTGGAAAAATTTATGACAACTTCATAAAATTTTCTGTTGTGTAATTTGTAATACCACAAATGGCGATTTTATTTATTTTTCAAATTGAAAGTTCAAATTGAGATTAACTTACATTAACCTAGAGGAGGCCCTATGTTATCCTAAAAATTAGCAAATTTTTAGGATGATGATTACTAATAAATCATTGTTTAGTATATTCATCCTCTACACTTCTACAACAAACGCATTGTTTTATAAGAAGTATAAAACAATATCTTTGCTCTAGTACAGCATTCAAACTAAAAAATCAAAATTTAAAGAACTTAAAAATTTCATTTTGTTTAAAACAAATTTTGCGATAAGAATATCAATTTCAATTTCAATCATGATCTTCATCAATTTTAAAAATCGCACAATATTTTATATATTAATTCAACTAATTGATTGAGTTTCCTACAGTATTGTCTGTCGTTTATTACCAGATTATTACAGTATTGTCTGTCGTTTACCCAATAATTTGTTTTTTTATAATACAAGGTATTGTTAATTTTACATGAGTTTACTATCAATATCTACATTTATGCACATATAATCCAATAGTATTTATGTATATGACGAAAAGGAAGTTTAACCTCCCTATTATAAAATCATAATTTTTATATATGTTTTAAGATTGAGTGGTATGATTTTTTGCTCTTCCCTCACATAAGGTATATACTTTTTTTCCCATAATATAATACAAATTATAAGATAAAATGTATAACAATATTTATAAGCATTGTTAGACTATAATACCCATGAGTAATAAACTCATATTATAATTATAAACTATAATTTAACCTAATCAATGAAATACATTATTAAATCTTATCTCTAAGAACCAATTTCATATATTGAAATATATCTTTTTTTGAATGTGTGATTTTTTTGATTAAATCAAATTGTTTGGGATTTAAAATGATCTTGACTATATTATTTTTTCAGTTCAACGAAATAATTTCAAATGAACTAACCACTCACAAATAGCAAATTAAAGTGTCTGTGAGCCTCTAGCGTTGGTTTAGTTGATTTATCACAACCGGCAACTATAATTATCGTTCTATTTATTGAATATAAACTAAATACGCCTGTTATAATTATCTTAATTATCATCTACGATCTTAATTTATTACATTCTCTGAGGTGGATAATTGAAATTAACTACTATCGTTAATTCTGAACACCTACTCGTATTATATCGGGCGAAAAGTGAAATGCGCGATTTCCTGATTTATTCCGACGGGCACGTACAAATTTATGATGAATTATTGAGCAAATAAATTCGTTTTTGCAATCGATTTAGAACACCTATGCGGTGAGACGCCACAGGTTACAAACAAAGTTGTAATTATATGGTAATAGAATAATTTTATTTAGTATATGGAGTTATCGTACATTTTCATA